ACAGGGGCAGCTCTAGCCCACTCGAATCCTTCTGTCTTCTGAATTTAACCAGTTTAATGGTGGCATTGGTGCAGGAGAATCCAGAAGGAACAGTCAGGGGGGACCAGGGTCCCTCCTGAGACAGAAGCAGGTTTAAGTCCTAAGAATTCTAACTCCCTGCACAGTGCTAGTCTGACCACAGTAAGGCTACTGGAGTCAGGGGTAGACCCTTGGGACCCCACCTCCCCATCCCTGCCCTGTTAACTATATCTTGTCCCACTGGGGAGCAGCTACCAAAATGCAGCATCTCAGTGGGCCTCTGTCTTCAGCTTTGAACAGAGAAGGCTGGCTTCCCCTCCCCATCCCATGATAAGGCCAGGGCAAGTGCTGGGAGCTGAGGAGCACACCCACTCTGAACATCCCCCAGTCCTGGTTGTGCTGGGTAGGAAACTGGAAGTTGTTCTTCAGAGAGGGAGAAGTTCTCCTAGGCTTCGGGGCCAGCGTCCCAGCCTGATGGAGGCCTGAGAGGACCTGGAACCACACAGATGGGATTGCAGACACTGAGCTAGACAGACATGGAGATGTCTGAGCTTGAGCTCTGGGGGAAACAAAGCCAAAGCTTCCCAGGTGCTTTCTTGTCCTTGTCCTTGTCCTTCGGAGTACCAGGGTCAGTTAAGAACACTATTCCTTTCCACATTCTTCCACTGACTTTCCCCCTTTGACCCTCAAATTTTCTGAGGGGCTCCTGGGAGCAGGACTCAGAGGCAGGCAGGGTCCCTCATTCATCACTCACACATTCATTCATTCACACATACACTAGGCAAACTTGCTGAGCCCCTCCTGAGTGCCCTGAGATGCGCAGGCTCACCTGGGTTCATGGCCCCAACACTAAGGCTGAAGGACTCACAAAGATCCTTCAGGGTGATGAGGGGAACCGAGAGGGGGGCAGCTCCTGCTGGTGGCAGGAGCCCAGCTCCAGCATGGCCTGGCTCAGATTCCATGTGGAAGGAAGGGATGAGGTGCTGTGGGGTCACCGAAGAGTGAATCTGACTCAGCCCAGAGGTCAGGAGAGGCTCCCAGGGAGGCAAGCGGGAGCTGAGGGGAGAGAGGAGACCCCAGGCACCAGCCCAGCTGGGTGGGAAGCTTGGGATCCAGGAAGGAGAAACTAGAGTCACAAAGGGCAGGCTTCCTGGAGGAGACAACGGGAGGTCTCTGGGCACCACCGTCCTGCCCACCTATGGATCCTGGTGTCCGATCTCCAATCTTCCTTCAACCCTGGGAAGAATGGGACCCAGCCAAGCTGAAGATGAAGCTTAGTTTCTGGCAGGATCATGGTGACTCTTTTCTTGAGACCTTTTGGAGACATGAGGGGAGGACATGAGGTTAGCCCTAGGAGTCTTCCCCCAGGGAAGGCTCTATCTGCCACCCTACCCAGTGGCACCTTTCTCCCATCCTCTGTCATCCTGAGCCTTGGCCAATGCTCTTAGGGTGCCCCAGGTCTCCCTGCACTGCCCTGACCCTATTAGTCTGTGAGGCCACATGCCTCCTAATCACTTTACGAGCCAACCCAGCAAAGGTTCCAGTTGTTCCCATTTTACCAATGGGGAAACTGAGGCCCCCAGTGTTAGCTCCCTTCTATAAGGTATAGTAAATTGAATCACCTTGAACCCAGGCTGTTCCATTTTGCCAACTATTATCACAGTGGGTGAGAGGGCAAGACAGGTGGTGAGGGGGAAGGGGGGGGGAGCTTGGACTACAGGACAAAAGACCAGGCAAGAAGAGGCCAGCTCAGGACAAGGATCTGCCCCAGGGTCTTGGACCTCAATGCCTGGGAGCAGTACTATGATGAGGGTGTGCAGCCATCCTCCCAGACCCTTTCTGTTCCTGAAACTGTACCCTACTCCCAGCCCAAGATAGTAGGAAGTCAACAGGGCTCTGCATGTCTGCGGGAAGGAACAACAGGGCTCTGGTCTTCCTCCTCCTACTGCTGGCCCCTTCCCTGAGTCAGAGGTTGCTGGCTCAGCCAGGCACAGTGGGGCGAGTGTGTAATTTCAGCTACTCAAGAGGCTGAGGCAGGAGTATCTTGAGTTCTAGGCCAGCCTGGTCAACTTAGAGAGACCATGCCTCAAAGTAAAGTAAAAATTAATGTGGAGGTACAGCTCTGCGGTAGAGCACTTCCTTAACATGCTCAAGGGGCTGGGTTCAATTTCCAGTACCAATAACACTAATAGTAATAATAATGATGAAGCTGGATTAGAACAATGGCTCACATCCGGGTTTGATTCCTAAGGGTGGTACTCTGCCTGCTCAACTTGCTGCCTCCTCTGAGCAGAGCAGCAAGCAGACTTCTTAGGGCTGGGGATCAGAGGTGCCTCGCCTACCCTGCAACCACAAGGTCCTGAGTTTTATCCCCGGTACCAAGAAAAAAAAGCAAGCAGACTTCTTAAAGGAGGTGGCTGTGCACACTTGTGGATTACTATGCATTGATTCCCAAGCCCTCACCTGATAACTGTTTGCTTGGCATTTTGACCACCCAGGGCATAAGACAAACTGCAAATGTGAGGATCCCAGAGAATCTCCCTCATGTGCCTCCTCCTGAAGGAAGAGTGCTGAATGAGAGAACCTAGGGCTGGGTCTTAGGAGCAGAGAGGCACTGGCCACCTGTCAGGGGACAGCTAAGGGTCTCCTATCAAGAATGAAACTGCCATCTCAGAGGGACCTCAGCTGATTACCCAGCCTTTAGCTCCTGGCATAGGGTGAGGGGTGAGCCGGGGAGCAGGAATGTCAAGACTGCTCAGAGGGCACCATGCCACCAGGTTACATCCACCCTGCCCACTTCTGCCTGCCTCTGCTGCAGTTGAAAGCACAGAGCACTCCTGGGATAAGTCTTCGTGACCCCATTGGCTTTGGATAGTGGCTCCCACCAGCTCTGGCTGGCACTCATTGGCTGCTTCAGCCACCAATCGCAAGCCAGATGTGCTTTTCCACCAGTAGGGCTCACTTCTGGCTCTACATTCCTGCCTAGGCTCTAACTGGGTTTGGGAGGTCTGGGCACAACTTGCCCTGCTAAAGCACCCAGGGCCATACCAAGGGCAGTGCTTCCATTTGTAGCAGTAAGGTGCCCTGAAGGGGCACAGAGCCTACCGAAACAGGTTGGTCTAAACGCCAACCAGCTTCTAGGACTTCTGGTTGGCCCCGGCCCCTGTGAGAGCAATTCTTTCTTCCTCAGCAAACAGTATTGAGGCCTTACTAGGTATCATGTTGTATGCTAAAGCCAAGCAAATGGTGCACACCTGTAATTCTAGATGCTTGGGGGGTTGAGGCAGGAGGATCACGAATTCGAGGTCAGTCTGAACAACATAGCAAGACTCCATCTCAAAGAAAAACAAAAAAGTTCTATCCTAAACTGAGGTTACAGAGCTGAATCAGACACCAGATTTGCCCCAGAGATGACCTAAGTCAAGTTGTTGGTGCCTGGGGAGGTGGGGGGGACAGAACTATAAACAGATAAATGTCATCAGCTTTTACTAGATGGGCATTCAAAGACAGGAGGGTCAGTTCCACACAGGAAGAGGGAAGGGGAGGGTGGTCAGGGAGCATGCAGAGAATCCTGGAATATGTGCCCCGGAAGAGACATCAGGAAGCAAAGGCCAACCCACTCTTTATGGATGGGGAAACTGAGGCCCACACTGGGGAAGTGACTTGGGCAGGGTCCCTTGGTGAAGTAGTGGCAGGGCTGGATGGTACCATATGCCCTTTCTGGTTTTCGGTATCTTTATCCCTGTGTCCTAACTCCACTTTCGGAGAAAAAAAAAAATTAACATCTTTATCCAGTGGTCAGCCAAGAGTAACCGGCTCAGGCTCCAGGAGCCGGGCTCTGCTGATCCTCCTGAGGCAGAGGCAGCGTGGCCTCCTTTCAGGCCTAGAATGGGGTGGTTGCGTTTTTCTCTCTCTCTCTCTATCTCTCTTGCATTTTTGTGAATCTAATGATGAACTTATGCTACCACACTTTTCCCTTCTCTTACACACCTTACCTACTAAAGGAGGAAGTGCCACTTTATTGGTAAGTGGACGTTAACCAAGAGGGACCTAAAAAAAATCAGAACTTTAAAAAAAGAAAAGAAAAAAAAAAGAAAAGAGAGAAACAGAAAGACAGTCGGGTGCTACTGACAGCTCCAGAGCTCTCTGCAGGGCCGCAGAACAAAGAAAGAAAAATATTAACAGAAAAAAATGTCAGGTTTCCCAGAAGATCATTGTTTTTGATTTTGGTATCTAATGACATTTGTGGATTTTGCTTTGTTCTTTTTTTTTCTTTCTTTCTGTTTTTTCCTCCCTTTCTTCGGTTCAGTTTTGAGTTCAGTTATCCCGCCCCGCCCCACCCCATCTGTGTGCCGTGTGACCCTCTCCATCCCCTCTGCCTAGCCCCTTGCGCTGGGGGGCCTGGCCTGGTGGGCTGGCCCTGGCCGGGCCTCCCGGTGCCGCCCTCTCTCTTCTCTCTGCCGGGAATCGTCCATCCCACGCGGGGGGGCCAATGCCAGCCCCGGTGCCGTCCTGGAGCCCCCCTCCCCTGCAGCTCCCACCCCACCGCTCCGTCCCTCTTGTGTTTTGCATGCCGAGAACCTTTTGCATGAGCTGCACTGTTGAGGCCAGAAAGTGAACACTCAGGAGAGGCAGAGGCAGGGCAGGCGCGGGGAACCGTGTGCGCGATGCTCCGGGACTGGCAGCCCGCGGCCCGGGCCCGGTGAAAGCCCTCTCTCCTTTTCTCCCCCCACCCCACCCGCCCGCTCTCTCACCCAATCTCTCGCTCTTTCTCTGCTCTGTCCTCTCTGCCTCCGACCTTTCCTCTCGGCTTCTCTTCTCGCTGGCGCTGTCCCTGCCTCTCCTCTCTCTGCGTCTCCTCCTCTTCTCTGTGTCTCAATCTCTCTCCATCGCCACTTCTCTGCGCTCTGTCTCCCCGGCCCATCCCTGCCCGTCTGTCTCTCTCCGCCCCTCCGTGCCCTCTCTGCCTCTCTCCCCGTCAGAAGCCCAGCTCGCCCTCGCCCAGGGCCCGCGACAAGGCAGCGGCCGCTGCACCCACGCCGCCCACGCGGGGCAAGGACAGCCCGAGTCCGCGCTCGGCGCCCTCGTCTCAGGGCCGCGGAGGTCGCACGGCGGGCGGGGCGGCCAGGCGGCGGCGGCGGCGGCGGCGAAGGCGGCGATCTCGGTCCTCGGCTTCCGCTCCCCGCCGCAGGGGTCGCCAGCGCGCCCGGCCCGCGCCTCCCCGGGACTCTTCCCGCTCGCTCAGCCGCGCGCGCTCCAGCAGCGACTCCGGCGGAGGCGCCCCGGGCCCCGGGCCCGAGCCGGGCTCCGAGCGAGGCCACTGCGGACACGGCAAACGGTGAGCCCGGCTGCTGCCCGCCCCCATGGCCACCCCCCCAGATTCGCGCCCCCCATCCCTCCTCCCCACGAGTTCCCCTCCCCCTACTGGTCCGTGTCCTCCACCGATCCCTCCTCCCACTTATCCCAGCCCCCAGGAGTTCCCTCCCCGACTGGTCCCCACCCGCTACTGATGCCAACCCCACACGGACGCACTGTCCTCCCCTGTGCTACCCACATTGGTCCCTCTCCCTCCATTGGGCTCCCCTCTGGCCAATCATTCTTCTTCCACCCCAAAGAACACCCTTCCTCCACTGACCCTCTCCCAAGCCCTCTGTCCCCACCAGGCTCCGGCCCTCTGCTCACTTTCCCCGAAGCACGCTCACGCAGCCAGCCCCCTCGCGGGCTCCTCCCCCTCTTACAAAGCTCCTCCCACACTTCCCCCTTTGCTGAGTCCCCTTCGCGTAACCCTCCGCCAGGACGAAAGAGCGGCCCCCGCGCGCACGCCCGGCCAGCACCTCGCCGTCCCCGGGTCCGCACGGCAGGCACGGCGGTCCGGAGGGTAAGAGCTCGTCGCGCAGTCCTGGTCCCCACCCCCGGTCCTGGAGTTCCAGCCGATCGCCTTCTAAATCCCGCTCGCGGTCCCCAGAGAAGAGGGCCCGCAGCCCCAGCCACTCACCATCGCCCAAGAAACCCCTCGGCCGGTGAGTGCGCCCCACCCCGCCCTCCCGGCCCTGACTACACAGAGGACCGCGCCTTCTGTGGGGTTTCGGAGACCCCGGCCTCTAGGGGGCGCGCGGCGGGGACCCCGGCCTCTAGGGGGCGCGCGGCGGGGAACCAGGCCAAGGATGCGCGCTGCAGAGAGCCAGGCAGTGTAGCTCACCAGGGCCAACCCCGCAGGGACAAAGACAGCGAGGGCCGCGCCAGGCACGCCGAAGCCGAGGCAGCCCGCACCCGGCGCCGCTCCCGTAGCTACTCCCCCATCCGCAAACGGCGCCGCGACTCGCCCAGCTTCATGGAGCCGCGGCGCATCACTAGGTAAGGAGGGGCGCGGGGTTGGGGAGGGCTGGGACAGGGGCCACTGATCTAATTCGGTGACCAGGGACCTCACGGGGTGAGGTTTCGCCGGGCCAGGGACTTGCGTCGGGCGTTCCGGAAGGGGGGTGGGGACCGAAGGAGAGGAGGTGACACTCAGGGAGGAGAATCGAGACCAGTAGGGCCAGAGCAATAGGACTGGGAGGTCAGGGGGTCGAGGGGGGGTGGAATCAGAGGCCCTAACGAAGGGAAGGTCCCCAATGGGACCTGAAGGCCTGCGGAGGGAGGGCGCTCTGTCCTTGGGTATGGATGGGCGGCAGCAGGCCGGGAGCTCAGCCCTGGAAGATTCCAGCCATCCCTCTGGAGCGCTCTCTCCCTCCCTCCCTCCCGCACTCATCCCCGGACAATGACGTCTCCTTTTCTCCTTCATCTCAAGGTCCAGACTGCTGAGTGGCCTGTGGCCAGCCTGGGGGCCAGGTGGACCCCTATACACAGGCTGCTGGGGAGATGAGCATGTGAGCTGGTCTGGCTTTGGTCAGCTGTCCATCTGTCTGTCTCTCCTTTCCTCACTAACCTCCCAGCCCCCTGGGGACTTGGAGGACGAGGCAGAGCTGTCGGGTGGTCTTGGGGGCAGCTATCCAGGGAACCCCACACAGCCCAATTAGGCCGTGCCCAGGCTTGGGCGGAAGCCACACTGTCACGGCTTCTCTGCTAGGACTGGAGGGCTCTGGGCCTGGGTCTCCAGGTGAGATGGTGGTGCACCTTTGTGCAGTTGCTCCTGAGGTCCTGGATTATCTTTGTTAGAGGGGAAGCCACAGGCAAAGTTCTGAGCCCAGCTCTGCCGCTGTCTTGCTGGGCAACTGGGGAGATCGGTGTGCCTCTCTGAGCCTTGATGATAAGAAGCAGAGGTCCCCAGCTTCATTTCAACTCCAACAGGGTTCGGTTGTCAAACTAGGCCTTCTTAGGCCTGGGTTACAGGGGTTTCTGAGAGAGAAGACAGCATGGCCTCCTTCCCACCCCAGACCACTAAATTTGGGACACACACAGGTCACACTGCCACCCAGAGACAGCCGACCCAAGTCTTCCACCCGGTACTCACCTTAGCCCTCCCCAGGTTACCTCCTCCCACTAACGTACCCCATTTTCTTCCTCAGAATTAACCCCGAGATGGGACGCTGTAGCCCCCTTAACCACTCTCTTTTCTTTTCTCTGGATCCTAGCCTCCTGCCTTCGAACTAACTCCAACTCTGGGCCAGTGGGAGGTAGCTGAGTGAGGAGCGGGGGGCCAGCGGGACTGGGCCAGGCCTCAGGCATGGGTGGCAGTGGCCAGGGGTTTCCCCTTTGTTCCCTTTGAGATACCTGAAGAGCCCAAATCCTCCATTCCATGGGGGACAGGGAAACTGGCTGAACCATGTTCATAAATACTTCCCTATAAAGAGGCTACAAGTGTAGTCAATAGAAGAGTGCTTGCCTAGCATATGCAAGCAAGGTCCTGCTTAGCTTGGTTGATGTGAGCCATTCCTATGTAAAAGTTTCGTTGAAACCGAGCATGGCCGTGTGTGGTGGTGCACGCCTGTGATCCCAGCACTTGAGAGGCTGAGGAAAGAGGATCACCGGAAGTTCGAGGCCGACCTGGACTACATAGTGAGACCCTGTTTCAAAAAAAAAAAAAAAAGAAAGAAAAAGAAAAAAGAAACCAAGCATGATGACACACAGCATTGAAAGGCTGAGGCAGGAGGATCGAAAGAAAGTTCAAGCCCAGCCTGGGCAACTCAGCAAGACCCCTTCTCAAAATAAAAAGGAGTAGAGATGTAGCTCAGGGTAAAAGTCTGGGGGTCATTAATTCAACAAAAGCACATACCTAGGGGCCAGGGATTTAGCCCAGTGGCACCGAGCCTGGATCACAGCATAAGGTCCTGAGTTCGATCCCCAGTACAAAAAAAAAACAACACATACCCAGACCAAGCAAGGACTTGGTTTCCTTTCCTGCAGACAGGAAAAGGAAAACAAAATGATAAATGTGGAACTGGAATTGAAAAATGACTCAAATTCTCTTTGGAGAGGTGGGTGTCCCAAAAGCTGGGGCTCAAGGGAAACTGAGGGAGGAGGCCCTGGCTGCTGCTGGGATGGGGCTCAGGGCCCTGGCTGGCAGGTAACAAGCTTTTCCTTCCCTGCAGTGCCCGAAAGCGTCCCATCCCTTACTACCGACCCAGCCCCTCCTCTTCCTCCAGCTGCCTAAGCAGTGACTACTCAAGCCGGAGCCCCAGCCGCAGCCCCAGCCCGGGGCACAGCCACGGAAGCTACAGCAGTCGCAGTCGAGGGACCCGAAGCCACACACGCAGCCCCTCCCGGAGCCCCAGTCCAAGCTACCACAGCCGAAGCAGCTCTGAAAGTGGGGGCTTCTGAGCCCAGCTGGACCTTGGGGCCACCTGGCACAGGAAGAGGCCAGGCCTTGGGACTGGAGAGGAGGGCCCTGCACCCTCTACAAAGATGCCTGGGGCCAGCACGTGGGCAGATGGGACGGGGAAGACTTTGAGGGTGGGCACCCTGCCCTCAGGGAGGAGCCAGATCGAACTGCTCCTAACAGGTGCCCCCTCCCCAGCCCCACCTTGCGCCCACCTTTGTGTCCAGGGAACAAAGAGCCGTTGCGAACACTGGGAGCTCCCTGCCCCCACTTCCTGCTTGACGCCTGCTCACCCTGCTGGGCACTGCTGCCAGTCAGTGGTACAAGAGTCCTCAGTGTACTGTGACCCTTGGCCTCCACTCAGTGCACCCAGGCACACCTCAGAAGGTGCCAGGCCTGGGAGCCTCCCCTCTCCTCCTCACCCTCACTGGGCAGACGAGGAGGTGGTACAGCAAGCTGCATCAGACCCAGATGGACAGAAGAATGTCCCAACCGTGGATGCACCACCAGCCAGATTGGGGAGCTGCTCCTCTGAGCTGGCTATAGGACCCCCATGTCCCTCCCTGCCCCAATCTGGGCTCCCCAAAGCCCAGGCCAAAAGGCCCAGGGAGCTCGCTCTTGAGCCCATTTCTCCAGCCCTCATGCCACGCCCTGGGCCAAGGCTGTTGCAGCCAGGCCTGCAGCAGGACAGAAGGACAGGGGGACTGACCTCATGTGCATCTGACCCTGAGGTCCAAGGGGTTCAGGTCTGGAGGTGAGAGAGTACACGGGCCAAAACGGGAGTCGACGACCTGCAGGGCACTGGGAGGGCTGGGAGGCACGCAGTGGTCCTCAGCCCCACCAAGAGGAGGACGTCGGCACAGGGTCACCGGCACAGGACAGCATGCCGTGTGCTTCAGGGCCTGCCCGGCAGAGTGCCTGGTCCCCGGCATGGTGGGATGTGGCCGGCCCAGGCTCCCAGAGCAGGGGTGCTGCCGCCCTTCGCAGGGGCTGGCCATCAACCCCACCTCTTCTTTGGCTCCCAGCCCCCGACTCCTGGGGCCCTCAGGGATCTCACAAAGTCTTCCTTGCCCAATGGGGCAGATGCCTGGGCCCTGGTGTGGGGAGGGATCTGGGATCTGGTCCAGGTTCCCCTTCTCTCTTTCCCCTGCCCCTTTCTCCGCGGTGCGGACCTAAAATGGACTGTAATAATAAACACTCAGTGCCCGGATGGCAGGTGGTGAGACCAGGCCTCTGTGAATGCGGGCACTTGGGGAGATTGGGTCAGGTAAGACCGCTTGGGGTCCTTTACTGGGAGGACAGAAGTGGTCAGACTCCTCAGGACCCTAGGAAGAAGAGCTGGTACCAAAGAACCAGGGCCTAGCCAGGTGGTACGTCCACGCCTATAATCCCAGCATTCTGGGAAGCTGAGGCAGGAGGATTGCCACAAGTTTGAGCCCAGCCAGGGCAATATAGCAAGACTGTCTCAAGGGGTGGGAAGAGCTGGAGATCTAGCTCAGTATGAAGCCCTGGGTTCGAATCCTGAATTGTTAAAAAAAGAACCAGGGCCCAGCACACCCATCCATCTCTCTGCTCTAAGCAGTAGTCTGCAGAGCCCTCTTGCAGCTCAGGGCAGGGGACACAGGCCCAAGGACACCTTCCTCCCACAGCCAGCCTGGCGTCAGCAGGTGTGGGGACTGGGCAGAGGGAGGAGGCCATTCGGGTGCTTCAGTCTGGTCAGTGGACCGAGCTGAGGAAGTCGCTGTGAAATACTACCTGGGCCATCCTCAAGACTGGCAGAGGGAGGAGGATTCAAGAGGCAGCTGTGTGCCTGGGCTGGACTAGGCACTAGCACAGGATCTAGAAGGGAAGGTTTGACAAGTGGATTTCCTTTTATTTATTTTTAAATAGCTACTCCCATTGTATTTCTTTTATGTAGATCTAAGCAAATTACAAGTTTTTCTTTTTTCTCCTCACCTCTTCCTTTCTCCTCCTCCTTCGTCTTTCCACTCTCAGAGTGGTACATTTTAACTGTGTTTTTTTTTTTTGTTCCGAAAATCGAACTCGAGTCCTTGTGCTTGCAAGGCAGGTGGTGGAACCACTGAGCTAAATCCCTGGCCCTTAACTTAGCTTTGAATCAAGCAAAGTGTAACTTGAACATGATGGAAGCTGAGAGTCCTTAGAAGGGTGTGCACAAGCCCACAATTCACACAACACAACAGAGCTATTGGACATGACTGGGCCCTTTAGGAGCCTCTGGGTTAAGAACACTGGTTCAGCCTGGCACAGGAGGCTGAGGCAGGAGTGATACAGGGGGAATAGATGTAACTCCCAAACCTTCTAGATATCCAAAACTCAAGTTCTCTAAAATTGAAGAATGAATTCTAGGAACAACAGAAGTTAAGAATAGGAAATGTTGGGGCCGGCGATTTAGCACAGTGGTTTCACCACCTGCTGTGCAAGCACAGGGACCCGAGTTCGATACCCGGTACCAAAAAAAAAAATAAAGTAAAATAAAAATTTTTAAAAAAAGAGAGACAGAAGGGGGACTGGAAAGTGGGTGGGTTGCCCGCCCACCCTGCTTCTCAAAGGTGTTTTATGGGACAAAGCCATGAGGTGAAGCAGGTACGAAGTGGGACAAAACTATAGTCAACCAGTAAGATTACAAGTACACTCACTTAGGTAATATTGGTCCAGTGGGAAATCACAAGGTGGTCATGAGGTGGGACAAGATTATAATTAATAAGATTACAACAAGTATAGTCACTTAGGTAATATTGATTAAGTGTGCATCAAACTGGGAAGCAGGTCACATAGCAATCACACAAGGAATGAACAGGGATTTTCAGTAAGGGATGGGTCAGGGACCTTTCCTGAAAGGGATGGGTTACGGTCTTGGTCCCCCACCCAGGTAATTGATGCCCATTTAGAATGCCAATCATGGGCCGGGGATTTAGCTCAGTGGTGCCTTCCTGCCTTGCAAGCTCAAGGTCCTGAGTTCGATCCCCAGTACCAGGAAAAAAAAAAAAAAAAGAATACCAATCACTGCTATTCGTCCCTAGGGGAAGTACATGGGTGTAGTACTTTCTCTTTTTAGGATGCTAACCAGTGAATGTGCCTCAGTTGCTTTTCTATGCTGAGGGCCCAGCTTTTTCTAACTACCTTATAATAATTTCTAACTAACTTAGCTATCTGCAATAGGAAGATGACAAATTCAAGCCCAACCTGGGCAATTTAGCAAGACTGTCTCAAAATGGAAAATAAAGGGCTAGAGACATAGCTCAGCATGAAGGCTCTAGATATAACCCCCAGTACCAAAAAATAAAAAATAAAAAGCTATTACCATGTTTCTGGTCCCAAGAATGTGTTTGGAGAAGCCCTAGTGATCTCTTTAATCTTTTACCCAAGTTCAGCAAAAGTAGGCTTTGGGCCAGTCACAGTGGTGTTGCCTGTGATCCTAGCGCTGAGGGAGGCTGAGCCAAGAGGATTTCACATTCCAGGGCAACTTAGTAAAATAAGTTAGTAAGGGGGCCAGGGATTTAGCTCAGTGGTTTCGCAGCCTGCTGTGCAAACGCAAGGACCCGAGTTTGATCCCCGGTACCAAAAAATAAAAAAATAAAAATAAAATAAGTTAGTAAGGAATTGAACTCAGGACCTTGCCCTTGCCAGACAGGCGCAGCGCCACTGAGCTACATTCCTGGCCCCCCAGTACTGGAATCAAACAAAACAAAATAGAGGCCTGGGCCTCGGGCCAGGGGTTGGGGCTTCTGGGGCTCAGACTTGACCCTGCAATGGGGACCCGATTGCTGACAGTGGGGGCATGAAACAGACCCACAGGTTGGCATGAAATTCAACCTCATACACAGGCCAGCATGTCACCGGGGGCCCGGCCACCTGTGCCAGCCCCACCCCACTTCTCTGCTCATCCACACCCAGGCAGCTGCAAACAGGGTCACTGCTGCTTTTCTGCTCCACTGGCCTCTTCCCCAGCCACCTGGCCTTGATCTTGCCCTCTCCGATCCCTGCCATTTCTAAAATGCAATTTAATGAAACCCATTTATCACTGATCTCACTTCTTTGTGTGTTTTTTGGAGACAGGGTCTCGCTTTGTAGTTCAAGCTGCCTTGAAATGACTCTGTAGCCCAGGCTGGCCTCCAACTCTTGGAGATCCTCCTGACTCAGCCTCCTGAGTGCTGGGATCACAGGTGTGTACCACCACACCCAACAACCACAAACACTTCTTGAATACCTCCTGTGTGCCTGGCTATGAGGTTACAGGTTTATTTTTGTTTTTTTTTTTTGAGGTCACAGTTTTGAGTGGATGGCACAGGGCTCAGTGGCTGGGGGTCTCTGAGTTCATGACCAGTCCCCCTGACACTTTCCAAAAGATCCCCTTGGAATTTACTATCTTCCACCCTCATGTCCCTTCTCTTACCTCTGGCCTCACCCCCTCACAGAGTCAGGTGAGCTCCTTGTCCGAGGCCCATCTTAGCCACCTCCTCCTCCTCAGAGCCTTCCTGATCTTCAGCTACAGTGGATATTCCTGTCTCTGAGTTCCTCTGGGGACCTGTTTTTAGGCCCTGAGGCTTTCTCCCACACACACGCACCTTAAATACAGGGTATTGAACCCTGAGCCTCCAAACAGAAATACGTACCTTGACTTTATTTTTTATTTGTCTCACTAAGTCACTAAATTGCCCAGGCTGGGCTCAAATTCAAGATCTTCCTGCCTCAGCCTCCCAGAGTGCTGGGATTACAGGTGTGCTCTTATCAGGCTCTTATCACAGATATTTATCTGTGACGCTGTCTCTCTCTTCCAAAAATTCTGAGCTTCTGTCTTATCTTTCATATTTCCCAAATTCAAAATGTTTGTTGAATAAATAAATGAGTCAGGGAAGGAACAATTCCAGAATCAAGCGGTGGGGGAGGCCTGGGACTAAAAGCCAGGCATGGTGGCAGCAAGCAAACACTAGAAGGCGACAGAGAGTAAGAAACATGCTCGTTGCGGAGGGAAAGGGCTCCGAATGAAGCAAGGAGCTCCTGCGGGGAGGGTCCAGCCCAGCCTGGAGGCCCCAACCCGGGTTCCCAGCACTTCCCTGGCTACTTAAAAAAGAGATGCCCATTGCCCAAGGAAGGACAGGGAGGAAACCAGGCCCCTGGGCCTCCCATGGCCTGAGGGTCAGCCTGAACTCTGCAGCCACCAAAACAGGAAACTCCAATCCCGCCTCAGTTGCCAGGAGAGGGGAGGGGCAGCCTTGCAGTACAGTGTGGGCACTTTAGTGCCCCAGCTCCAGGGCCTGGCCTGGCACAGCCTCTCCTGGTTTGGGGTACAGCACGTCCTCTCTCGGTCACTCCTCTGGTGGCCCATGGGGAGCCCCATCCTTCCCCTCCTGGCACACACAGCACTGGAAAGGCTGCACACTGTGTTCCTGATGCCTGCCTGCCAGACTGGATGTTGTTTTTTCTTCCTCCTCCTCCCCCTTCCTCTCCTCCTCCTCCTCCTCTTCACTTCCTCTTCTCTACCTCCTCCCTTTCTCCTCCTCCCCCCTACCCCCCAGTACTCAGGGTTGGCTTCACACTGAGCTACAAGCCCAGCTCTTTTTATTTGATTAATTGTGAGGCAAGGTCTGCCTAAATTGCCCAGGCTGGGCTCCAACTTTCAACCCTCCTGCCTCAGCCTCCCAGAATGCTGAGATTACAGGTGTGCACCACCATGCCCAGCTTTTCTTTCATCAGTTTCCTACAACCCCATCCCTGAGTGGCAAGTGTACATGTCCAGCAGGAGTCCCCCATCTCCTGCCTCTCTGAGATGCTTCTGAAGGCCCCTGGTGGCCAGCTGGCCTCTCTCAACAGAGGGTGTGTTCAGTGGCCCTGTCCCCAGCCCCTACCCTCCACAGACCACCTCCACCTATGAGGCCCAAGACATGGGGTGCCCCAGCTCAGGGTTTCCCCTCCATGCCAGCTGGCTGCTTTCTAGTGCTCCCTCAGAATGGACATCCAAATCCATTTTAGGTCAGGTACTTTTATCTCCCATGGGCTTGGGGGCACCTGCCCTATCCACCCCATCTCCCTTCTCTTCACCTTACTCTTTTTCTTGGGTTTTTTTGGGGGGGGGGGTACCGGGGATCGAACTCAGGACCTTGCATTTGCAAGGCAGGTGGTGGCACCACTGAGCTAAATCCCCGGCCCTCTTTTTGATGTTTTGATTGAGAAAGGGTCTCATTACAAATTCAGGCTTGCCTCAAA